AATTCGATTCGCAAAACGTTTTAGGTGCTCGGAACAAAACGCTCTGGTTTCTTTTCGATCCGCAAAACGTTAAGGTGCTCGGAACAAAACGCTCTGGTTTCTTTTCGATCCGCAAAACGTTAAGGTGTTCGGAACAAAACGCTCTGGTTTCTTTTCGATCCACAGAACGTTAAGTGTTTGGAATAAAGCATTTTGGGGTTTCCCTCAACTTAGGGTGCTCGGTTCTCGGCGTGGGGTGCTTGTCACCGAGTTATCCCCCCCATTCCCTGAAGTGCGAAAATCATCACCTTGAGGGAGTAGATACGGTCGGGGTTAGCGAGAAATTTGGCAATTGGGTTTTAAACGCGACTGAACCTTACCCTACAGGCGATAGTGCCTACGGGCGAACCCTCACCGACTGAGCCGCTCGAGCGGCTAGGGCTGGTTCTTGCTAAGGACGTGAGGTTCCCCTCGAGAACTCGGATCTCTCAGGCGTCGCCTACCTTGTAGGGCTTAGAGTCGAGACGTGCCCTCGGACCAGTCGGGCCGGCGGCGGTGGTAATGATACCGCCCGAGCTGTGGCCTGTGCCCCAATCGGTCGTGAACCGATCTCAAGTTTACTCGACGTTGCGGTCATTTCGAAGTTTACTTGACGTTTCGGTCGCTCGGGCCTATGCCTCTATCGGTTGTGAACCGATCTCAAGTTTACTCGACGTTGTGGTCGCTCGGGCCTATGCCCTGGTCGGTTGTGAACCGATCTCAAGTTTACTCGACGCTGTGGTCGCTCGATGTTTACTTGACGTTTCGGTCTTTTGGGCCTATGCCCCGATCGGTTGTGAACCGATCTCAAGTTTACTCGACGTTGTGGTCGCTCGAAGTTTACTTGACGTTTCGGTCTCTCGAGCCTATGCCCCGATCGGTTGCGAACCGATCTCAAGTTTACTCGACGTTGTGTCGCTCGGGCCTATGCCCCGATCGGTTGTGAACCGATCTCAAGTTTACTCGACTTTGTGGTCATTCTTGTGTCCGGCTAACTCCTGGTGTTGAGGTCGGTACTGCCCGCTTGCAAAATCACGAAATACAAAACGTTATAAGGAACGTGAATTACAATGAAAATGGAGATTACATAGGCCGCTGGGCACACTATACTGTCTACTTCCGGGGCGGTTACATCGAAGGCGACCGGGTACATTAATTGCTAACACTACTCCCTGGCGCCCTTTACAACGCATAGTTCACTAAAACTAGTGTCGAAACAATACCAAGTTCTCCGAATTCCAAGTCCGGTCGAGTGGTTTGCCGGTTGTGGTTTCTAGCTTGTAGGTTCCCGAGCGGATAACGGCGGAGATCACATACGGGGCTTCCCAATTTTGGGCGAACTTCCCAGACGCTTGCGGTTGATTGGCTTCTCTCTTCCTTAAGATATAATCTCCGACCTGGAAATACCGTGGTCGAGCCCTTACATCGCGACTGGCTTTCACCTTCTTTTGGTATCCGGCCATTCTCTGGGCGGCCAAGTCTCTCTTCTCCTCTACGCAGTCTAGGTCGACCGCCATGAGGCGCTCATTCTCGTCCACATCATAAGCCTTTTCTCGGGAGGTCGGGAGATCCATGCCTCTATTGGGAGCCGAGCCTCAGCCCCATAGACAAGGGTGAACAGTGTCTCCCTGGTTGCCTCTGGGGGGGGGTTGTTCGGTGCGTCCATAGGATGAACGACAGTTCCTCGGCCCAGCTGCGCCCAGTCGAGTGGAGTTTCTTTTTCAAACCATCCAAGATGGTGCGATTGGCGTTTTCCACCTGGCCATTTCCCTGAGGGTAGGCGACGGACGACTTGATCGATTTTGTCCCGATCGTGGCTAGGAAGTTTTGGAAGTATTGCCCCTCGAACTGCTTGCCATTGTCCGTGGCTAACTGAACGGGTACTCTAAAACGAGACACCATGTTCTTCCACAGGAAACAGGCGCACTACTGAGAGGTAATGGTCGCCAACGGCTTGGCCTCAATCCATTTTGAAAAGTAGTCGATGGCGACTATGATGAATCTTCGCCGACCGGACAGTTGCTGGAATGGTCCGATGATGTCTACGCCCCAGCGAGTGAACGGTATCACTGTGCTGACCGGCTGATAAAACGTTGCTGGTCTCCCGGGCATCTTTGCGAACAATTGGCAATCCTCACACCCCTTCGCGACGCGCTCGCAGTCGAGCTGAATGGACGGCCAATAGTATCTTACCACCATAATTCTTCTCGCGAGGGATCGCGCCCCTTGGTGCGAGGAGAAGATTCTCGAATGCAGCTCCATCATGACGATTTCGGCCTCGAAATCGGTAAGGCAACGCATGAGCGGTCCGTCGTACGATCGTCTATACAAGTGGTCGTCCACCACCTGGAATCTAGGCGCTCTGAGCTTGGCTTTCCAGCCCTTTGTTCGTCCTCCGGCAAGCGACCCTCTAGCAGGTAGGTCTTTATATTAGTGATCCAATTCTCTTCTTCGGCTTGCACGGGTGCTACCTCCAAACTTTCAATGCTTGGGGACGGGATCACCAATACCCGAGCAATTCTTGAAATATATTCCAGGGCTTCTTGTGTAAGTTTCGAGAGGATGTCTGCATCTGCGTTGTCCAGCCGAGGGATGTGCTTTACTGTGTATGCCTTGAACGCGCTCAGCTTTTCCAACGCCAGGTTGCGGTACTAGTACAAGCGTTCTCCATTGACTTCGTAATACCCCAACACTTGGCCTGCCACTAGGGACGAATCCGTTCGGACCCGGACGTACTCGGTTCCCATGTCACTCGCATACTGCAAGCCAGCAACAAATGCTTCGTACTCGACTTCATTGTTGGTCGGGAAGAATTGGTAGATCAGTGCATAATACACCTTGAAGCCTTCGAGGCTCGTCAGCACGACCCCTCATCCTGATCCCTTTTTGCTACTTGCTCCGTCCGTAGCTATCTCCCACCAAGCACCGTCGGGGACGTCCAGGTCGGTCGCTGTCTGAGGGTCTCTGGCGGTGCACTCGACGTCGAAGTCGGCCAAATAATGAAATTTTCAGGAAGCAATATATTGTGAGGTGTTCAGTAAATGTGAGTACTGTTCACTGGGACTAATTACTACTCATTGGGCTTGGAATCCCATGAGGGTGTAACACATAGGTTATGATCCAGTTTCTAAATTGTTTGAGTGGTAGTAGGTAGGAAAACCTGACTACTTAGATCATATACTACCCAGTGGCTTGGAATCCTCTGGGGGTGTGCACATAGGTTTTAGTCCAGATTCTATGTGGATTTCGATGAGGTTTGTTAATTCTCCATTTATAAATATTAATTCTCTATACAAGGAAAAGTATAACTCCACATGTATTTTGGAAAAGAATAAAATTTATGAGCTTTAGAAATATAAAATCCAAGCCTATATTTTACGGGGTGAAATGGAACTTACTTAGCTTATGCTAATTTTTGTCTATTCTCTATCTTTTTGTGTCAAAATTATTTTTACAGGTGAACATGGATAAAGGAATTTGAGATGAATTCAAGTTGAGCAGGAATTAAATTGACTCATTGGAGATTTTATATTTTGAGAGTAAATGATTGTAATGTTATTTGCAATTTATGTATTAAGTTGAATTTGGATTATTGAATTTAAGTTGTATTATTAGCCTTAGCGTTCGGGTATAAGAGAGATACCTGAGCGTGGCGGTAACACCCATTTCTTTTGGTTAGTTAATGCTTCCGATATGTTATTAGTGAATATTTCAGTTAAGAAAGATTAAATATTAAGGAAAATTTGATTATGAAAATTGGGGTGTTACAAGTAGTGTGATACCCCATATTTTCTTGGCACTATATAAGGACCGTATGTGCGTACAGAGTTCATTTTATTTAATTCTACTATCCTTTGCTACCTAATTTTATTTTTTTCTTTGGATTCCAAGTTAAATGGCACTTTTTCCCCCTGAGTTATATACTTATAGCACTTTTCCCCCCTAAATTATTTAAGTGGCTCTTTTCCCCCCTAAAATGTTAAATGGACATATTTACCCTTAAAATAAATATTTCATTTATTTTTCTTCTCCAACAAATTATTACTATAATTTGGTTCAAACCAAACAGATATTATAGCAACCAAACCAAAATATTCCAATTACAATTTAGAATCAAAACGCGATATTTAGAGTTTATTAAAATCGCAAATCGAAATGGCCGGTTCATGTTCCGAACTGAAAAATAAAATACATTTATTGTTGAATTTAGACTATTTTAAAATAAAAAATAAAATATTTAAAATAAAGACGGTTCAAAATCACGAACCGGATCCGGAACCGCCGGTTCACGGTTCATGATCCAGTTTTTTTTTTGTTCATAAATTTAATAAATTGAAATCTAAATATTGGATTCTAGATCTGAATCATAACCGGAAACTTTTAATTCGATTGCTATAGTGTCCGGTTCAGTTCGAACCGAACCGTGGTCATTGCTACATATACACAATAATTTGTTGGAGAAGTAAAATAAATAAAATGTTTACTTTAAGGGTAGAAATGTCAATTTAATATATCAGGGGGAAAACCCACCACTTTTAAAATAATTGAGGGGGCTAATGTGCTTACATAAATAATTGAGGGGGAAAAAATGCTATAAGTATATAACTTAGGGGGAAAAAGTGCCATTTTCCCTTATTATTATTAATTATTATTAATATTATTATGATATTGAGCCTAATAATTAGCAATTAGCAATAATTGCTATTAATTCTCTAGCTATTCTGATTCTTTTTTTGAATGCTACTAGCTCTATTACATTGTAGTATCCACTGAGGCTTGAACTCACAACCTTCCAAATGGAAGTCCAACCCGGGTACCATTGGACAACATAGTCCTGGTCCAAATAAATATATATGTACGTTTTAGATGGTATCCATATTAGTATTCCTAAATATATTATATTATACTATTATAGTTTATATTAGCAATATATATTACCTAGTATATGTATATCCCTTGTATCTCTCCATCTCTGTCACGTCTCTCTTTCTCTCCATTCCTCAGCCGTTCATACTTTCTTCCCATAAACAGCCAGAATCACCATCTCCCTCTATCTCACCTCATCACGGCAGCCGCCATCCTTCACTTTCCTATCCATTTTCCTTCCGGCAGAGCCTCAACAGTCCAACAACTCGATTATTTCCCGCGATCGAGCTTGTTGATTGTGATGTATACATAGTTGATAGTGAAATAATGAAGAATTTATGATGATGACGGAGTTATAGATTAAGATGGTGAAACGGAAATGATGATGCCGATGATAGGATGATGATAGATGGTGAAACGGAAATGAAGCAGATGCCGTCAAGATGGTGATGGTAAGATGATGAACTATTGTTAATTCTGTTAGTGCGGATGTTGATGAAGGTTTGATTAATAATAATATGGTGATGATTTGGCAGTATTGTGAGTATCAATAAGGATAATAATAGTTATAGGAATAATTTTATTATTAGAATTTGATTGATTCGCAGGTTTCTTTTCATGGTGGCTAGAATGCTATTTTAAGTGTTGATATGAATTTTGGACTTCGAGGGTAAGATTTTATGTTCACCAAAAATTACCTTTTTTCTCGTAAATATTTTACGTTGTGTGAATATGAGTATGATATCTATGATGTGAGTTATAATGTTCATGTGATCACAAGTGCATTGTAATGTTGTGACTTGTGAGTAGTGATTCTCGAGCTATCGAGATTGGGCTTCGACGTGTCGAGCCCTGTGTGTGTAAATCGTTGGCTTGGAATATTTTGGTATATATACACATGGTGAAATTTGTTTTACCTTGTGGAGTAAAAATGATTTTGGATAAATTATGTGGAGAAAATTATATTTTTGGAGAAATTATATTTTTTTTGGGGAAATGATATATTTTGGAGAAAATGTTATTTTTGGAGAAATAATGAAATTTTCAGGAAACAATATATTGTGAGGTGTTCAGTAAATGTGAGTACTGTTCACTGGGACTAATTACTACTCATTGGGCTTGGAATCCCATGAGGGTGTAACACATAGGTTATGATCCAGTTTCTAAATTGTTTGAGTGGTAGTAGGTAGGAAAACCTGACTACTTGGATCATATACTCCCCAGTGGCTTGGAATCCTCTAGGGGTGTGCACATAGGTTTTAGTCCAGATTCTATGTGGATTTCGATGAGGTTTGTTAATTCTCCATTTATAAATATTAATTCTCTATACAAGGAAAAATATAACTCCACATGTATTTTGGAAAAGAATAAAATTTATGAGCTTTTGAAATATAAAATCCAAGCCTATATTTTACGGGGTGAAATGGAACTTACTTAGCTTATGCTAATTTTTGTCTATTCTCTATCTTTTTGTGTCAAAATTATTTTTACAGGTGAACATGGATAAAGGAATTTGAGATGAATTCAAGTTGAGCAGGAATTAAATTGACTCATTGGAGATTTTATATTTTGAGAGTAAATGATTGTAATGTTATTTGCAATTTATGTATTAAGTTGAATTTGGATTATTGAATTTAAGTTGTATTATTAGCCTTAGCGTTCGGGTATAGGAGAGATACCTGAGCGTGGCGGTAACACCCATTTCTTTTGGTTAGTTAATGCTTCCGATATGTTATTAGTGAATATTTCAGTTAAGAAAGATTAAATATTAAGGAAAATTTGATTATGAAAATTGGGGTGTTACAGCTTGGCCCTTGATCCCCGGTCTGGGCTTATATTCTATTACAAACTGCGTCAACATAATCTCCCACTTGATCAGGCGACCGGACGAGGAAGCGGTCCTCAGGACGGCCCCGACCGGTTGGTCGGTCAGGACGCAGATCGTGCGTCCCTGGAAATAAGGAGTTAATTTCTTTGTGGCGGTGTACAGTGCAAACACAACCTTTTCGAGGCGCGAGTAGCGGAGCTCGGGCCCGTGCAATGCGTGGCTTACATGATATACTGGCCTCTGGATACCACCCTGGTCTATCCGACACAAGACAGCGCTGATTGCTCGGTCCGAGACGGCCAAGTACACCTCCAGTTCTTCTCCAGGCTCGGGTTTCGATAGGACGATAGGTGACATGAGGTATGCCTTGAGGTCGTCAAGAGCCGCTCGACAATCGTCGTCCCATACGAAACCGTTCACCTTCCTCAGTGTTTTGAAGAACGGTAACACTCTCTCCGCTAGCTTCGACATGAACCGACTAAGTGCTGCTAATCGACCTGTTAGTTGCTGGACTTCCCGGACAGTGGTCGGCGCCTGCATGTCTAATATAGCCTTCACTTTGGCCGGGTTTGGCTCGATGCCTCGCTTCGTCATCACGAAGCCTAGGAACTTCCCCGTCTAGACTGCAAAGGTGCATTTGGCCGGGTTCAGGCGAAGTCGATGGTGCCTCATCACTTCGAAACACTTCCGCAAGTCTTGATCATGGTTGGACCGATCTGAGCTCTTTACGAGCATATCATCCTCATAAGCCTCAATCGTTCGGCCTAGTAGTCCCGCGAACAGCGCGTTAATCATTCTCTGGTACGTTGCATCGGAATTCCTTAAACCAAAGGGCATGACCCGATAACAATAAACACCATCCGGGGTTACGAACGATGTTTTACTTTCGTCTTCTTCCGCCATCCTGATCTGATGATAACCCTTGAATGTATCCATAAAACTTAACAGGTCGGCACCGGCCGTCTTGTCCACCATCTGGTGGATGCTCGGGAGCGGGTACGGGTCTAACGGGCACGCTCAGTTTAGATCCATGTAATCCACACACATGCGCCACGTTTTGGCCTTCGGGATAAGGACTACATTAGCTACCCAGTCGGGGTAGGTCACCGGTCGGATATGGCCTGCCTCCACTAGTGCCTTCACCTCTTTTCTTACGAATTCCCGCCGATCCGAGGACAAATGTCTCGTATTCTGCTTTACAGGTTTGGCCGATGGGTTGACAGCTAGATGGTGGCATATGGTTGACCGGTCCACTCCGGCATATCCTCTGGCCCCATGCGAAAATGTCAGAAAATTCTCTAAGGATTGCCAATATGGAGGCCCGTAGGTCGACGGTCAAGTTCTTCACGATCTTTACCGTTTGGTCAGGCCGCTCGGGGTCAAGCGGTACTTCTTCCGACGGCTCTGGTTGCTCTTTCTTCTCCTCGTCCGGTCGCTTGGAAATAGTATTGATTCTCGCACTACCGGCCTCTTTTTGATTGACGGCCTTCATGTAACACTTCCGGGCCGAGTGTACATCCCCTCGTACAGTACCGACTCTATCAGGGGTCGGGAATTTCATGCACAGGTGAGGCATGGAAATGATTCCCCCCACCGCCAAGATGGCCGGTCTACCTAAGATCGCGTTATGCACGCATCTCAAGTTGACAACTACGAACTCCATCGTCGTCTTCGCAGCTCGGGGCGGGGTGCCCAGTTCAACTGGTAATGTTATCTTGCCCTCCGGGTGGATGGTGTCGCCGGTGAATCCCGATAAGGGGGTAGCGATGGGCATCAGCTCGATCGGGTCAAGGTTTAACTTCTGAAAGAGTTCGAGGTACAACACATTGACACTGCTTCCGGTGTCGATCAATACCCGCTGTACATCTACTCCCATTATATCGACGGTTACCACGAGGGCCTCTGCCCCGTGGTCTATCCCGATGGGCTCGGTCTTCTGCTTTTTTCCGCTCCCTGACCCTTGCTCTACAAGGCCGACCGATAAGTGTTCAGTTGGTTCGCCATTATCTTCTAGGCCGCCAAAAATAATGTGGATCACTTGCTTGGCGGTCGGGGACGGGGGGTTATTTTTCGGGTCTTGGCCCTTCTTGTCTTTCTTATCCTTCTTGAATAGTTTCTTCCATCCGGATTTTTTGCCTTCCTTCTTGGCGAGAAACTGGTCTAGCTTTCCTGCCTGGAGTTTGTCTTCGATCAGCTCCTTCAAGTATGTGCACTCTTCGGTGTCATGTCCCTTACACCAGTGGTATGCGCAATGCTTAGTCTTGTCTTTGCCGTCCCTATACGGGTCGGGGAGCTGAATCAAGTTACACGACTGGGCATACTGCAAGATATCGACCGCGGGTCGCGTCAGGGGGGTGAAGTCTGCTCGGCCGCCACCCCTCCCGAAGGGCTCCGACTGTTGGCTCTCTGGCCGGTCGCGACCTCTGCTTGAGCCTCCCTCTCATAGCCGCTTGGCTGCGATCGCCTCTCGTGCATTTGCATCGTTGGTGACACGGCAGATAGCTTCATCGTACGTCAGCGGGGGGTGGAGAATGAAATCTTCGTACAACGCTCCCGCCCGAAGGCAGGAATGCAACATGTTGATTGCCATTGGGTCATCCATGGTCTCTACTTCTCCGACTGTGCTCTTCCATTTTGCAAGGAAATCAGAAAGTGATTCGCCTTCTAATTGCTTGGCCTTTTCTAAATACATGAAGTGTTTCCTGACAGCTCGGGACGTAGCAAACTTCTTTACGAACTTTGCTGCTAGGTCAGTAAAGCAATTGATGGATCCCGGCTCTAAGGATTTGAACCAGTCGACTGCTCGGCCTGTCAACATGGAGTAGAAGGCTCGACACATCACGGCGTCGGTGACGCCCATCATTAACATGTTGCCGTAATATGAGTTGACGTGCGTTTCGGGGTTGGTCTTCCCGTCGTAATCTTTGCTACCCGGCACCCGGAGGTCGTGCGGGTAGGGCTGACTCATCACTTCGACTGTGAAGGGGGTTCGCAGCAGCGGTGAGGCCGTCTCCACCGAGCCTGAGCCGTGCTCTTGCCTCCAGCGATTGAACTCCTGTCGAACCTGATCGAGTAATCCGCAGGCATCAGTTTCAGCGGTGTCCCAGTTTTTCCCCCCAGCTCTCCTCTGACGAGTCGATTGGACCAAGTTGACCTCTCCAGATCCTTCTTGGAGGTTAGGTTCGGTCCCGGTTGCCGATTCACAAGCCTCGTCGTGAGATCCTACGCGCTGCTGGACCGGTCGGCGGAGTCGGGCGAAAGCACTGGTCCTCTCGTTGGGGCCCTCGTTGTTTCCACCGGGAGGATTCTTTGGGCCGAGCCGGGATCGCGCAGGGCGACGCTCTGATTGTGCTCGGCGAAGCTCCGGTGTGCTGTTTCCTGAAGTGCGGAGCGAAGACGTAGTTTTCGATGTGCTGAGCCTCGGCACTTGAGGATACGGTTGATATGCTGGAGGGGCCGGCTGATATGGATATTGCGGAGCGTAGAACCGCGTCGGGCTCTGCCAGAATTGGTAGGCGGGGTCGTACATTCCCGGCGGGTACACCGGGTACTGGAATGGTATTTGCCCCGCCGCTGCGGGGTAGGCCTGCCCCTGATCGATGAAATTGACGGGGTCGGGGGTCGGGCCTCTCCCCGGGGAGCTATTGAGATCCAGTCGTGAGGAACTTGACTCGGCTTCCGCGTCACTGCGTGGGTTCACGAACGGATACATAGCGTTAAGGATAGGATCGGTACCTGTCGAACTAGGCGGCTTCTTGTACCGTTCCCCACGGATGGCGGCAAAATGATAAAGTATTTACGGATGCCTCTACGATTCCGTGCGTGTGTCTAGGGCTTGAGCTCGGGATGATCAACAGTGGGTCGAGCAGTTCCCCGTCAAGCCAAGAGTCCAAAAGTCTCTCTCAACGTCATAAATGCGAGTACTTATAGGGGTTGAGGGTGGAAGTCCGGGGTCTCGGAATGTCGGCCGCGTGGCCGCCATGCACTCGCGGGCCCTCTGCCAAGGAACATTGCCACGTGCCGCAGGCCTTCTATCGTTTTCTGTGGGACTCTGTCCCGACCGGAGCAGTCGGGGTTCCCGCGTAGGCCCGCTCGGCGTGACCGGTTGGTTTTGATCGGGTATCGCGTTCCCAATATGCATCGATCGACAAACCGTACGTATGGCGGGTAATAGTCTATCAACCTCTATGAACAATTGAGTTGCCCATGCCGGTAAATTAATTTTGTTTTCTTTAATCCATCAATAGATGTTTGGAACCAGAATTTAAAATCATTAACCTCCCGAACAACCGGCCTACAACATAATCACAAACCTATTACACCTCGAACTCCAACACACCTTAGCACATACTCTGGAATCCAATCAACATGCATTAAAAATCACAGCTATGTACCTAATCAAAACACCACAAAGGTCTATCGTAATCATAGAGTCCTAATCCAACGCCAACTACAACACTCCCTCACCGTGTGTTATAAATAGGAGCCTCAACACATACACATTCACGCCAAGGAAGAGCAATACGCAGCCTGTTTCTCAATCAGGTAAATTCTTTCTTCTTACCTTTCTATCTTCATCTTCCCCAAATACATTTTATCTTTGCTCGTACCTGTGTCGCTGCTGCTGCGACTTTTTTTCTACTGGTCACGCTGCTGGACAATGGATCGGAGCTCACGAAATAAAAATTTGACGGAGCAAGGATATCATGGCAAATGGGATCCGGAATTTATTAGATATGATATGATAGAGGAAGAACTACTGCTTTTATTCTTTAGAGGGAAAAAAAAAAAAAAAAAGCTAATGCAAGTTAATGTGGCACTTTACCCTCCCCACGCCACTTTCTCTTGAAATACACACTTTAAATAATTAATGACATGTTTGGTTCATGGAATAGGTCAGGAATGGAATAACATTTCTTGGAATAGATCTATTCCATC